AATTTTTGTAAGTAGTAATCGGTAAGCGTATTCCTGAAAATCAGCAAAACCACTTTCGTTTTCCAGTTTTTATACTTATTTTTATTGTCTGTTATATCAGAATTTTTATATAAATATATATTGTCTGTCTCATCAGAATACAAGATGTTTTCAAGAATATATATCATTTCTCACGATTGAAAAAATCAAGACCTAAATTTCAAGAATGCCGTCTTTGTATCCCCAAATGAAGGGCTTAGAACTCCTCTAAATGTTCGTACTGGCTATTGCTACGTCTTCCGAGTTATTCCAGTTACTCTTTTCAACAGTAGATACTAATAATTATTTTCCGTGTGAAATGCATTTGTGTTTAATAAGGTAAAAAATTATTGAGTATAAAATCATATTTAAGGCTATGATTTTAAAAATATTAATATTCTCTTAAATCAGATATCATATTGAAGTAGCAACTTACATAACGACTAAGCATAATAATATACTATTCATTTCGTGCATTTTCATTTCACAATTTGCAGACGTGATCGTCGGTAAAATGTTCCCTTCTCCAAAGCGAAGATCAAATCGTGATTAAAAATCTCGAGTGCACTTTAAACTAAACTTTACACTTGAGAAAACAATTTTGGTGAAACTGGGATCGCCTCTTCGATTTACAATGGACTATGCAACCTAATATATTTTTATGGACCCCAATTTTCATTTGAAAACTGTACGTCTTCCTAAACGGAATAGCCTACTTCGCTTATTGCACGGTTTCCGAGATTTTTTCCGAAGAAGTGATTGCGTATGTAGATAATAAAATAATAACAAAAAGAACTCTAACACGTCTGTTGCAGCTTTCAGCTCTACTTATTTTCCTTCCAGCAAGTTTTTGTTTCCCATTTAATGCAATGGTTATATAAATAATAAATACTGTAAAAAATTAAACATGCTTCAATTTTACGTTTAAAACGCCAAATGCAGTAAAGTAGCTAACCTCGGCATATCCCAGTGCCAAATGAATGTGCTACAATATGTGGAATTTGTTGAGTTGCGTATAAGTTTTAAAGTGCACTCCATTGCATTGTTGCTGTATGCACGGAGCGTGATGAAGGTAATTTTGTGGGACAGAGATGAATCTATAAAAGCGATTCAAATTAAATGAATGATGGAAAGTACCGTTCCAAAGATCCATCTCTTTGCCGCTCGCAACGGACATTCAGTTCCACAAAAACGTTGAAGTGCCAGAATTACAATCCTAACCTAATTACGAACTCTCCAAGGCGTTCGTTTAAGGTTATAGGTTTTGATTCTGGGTCAGCCCTAGCTCGCACCCACAGTAACCCATCGTCGCCACACTCCAAATCGACGCGGGAGAAATTTAGAAGATATTATTTGAAAAGAAAGTGATACCGTGATATACTACTCACGTGTGTTGAGCAGAGCAATCAGAGTAAGATATCCCAGAGCTACGTAACCTCTGACAAACGGATCGCCATTTACGTGGAGATATTGTTGATATCGAAGCTCTTCCTCTGCAGTACGTGAGTAATTCGTCGATCACGTGTCACCATTAGTCGGCAGTTCATCCACTCGCGAGACAACAAAATCGCAAGCACTAATCAAAACACCATCACCGCAGTCCCTGTGTCGTCGAACTGCGGCATTTCGTAGTTGCGCAACTGTCCTTGGGCGGTGCCGAGCGTTCCCGAGGAGTGCCGAACGAAACCGAAGGCGGCGAAACGTTTGTTTGTTTTGTACCGAACGTTCACGTGTCGAACCGAGTGCTGCCGTACTGTGCCGAGTGCTGCCGATTGGAGTGCCTGAGGGCGGCGGGGCCGCGATGTGTGGGGCCGGCGAAGGGCCACCCCGAGACACCAAACGAGCACAATAAGCACCGCGCCTCCATTGTAACATAATATTTCTCTCTATATGTCACTTCTTCTAGCGCTAGGCCAGTACTTCTCAATTTCTTCGATAACTAATACAACTATTATAACTATCCCTGAGCCGCAGGCGACCGGCGGGCAGAGAATTCCCGTGACCCATGTGGGACCGCACGTGCCCCCCTCTTCCCTTCCACGTCCTGCCCCCTGCGCCCGCTACCCCCGTCCCCCGCACGTTCTCCCTTGACGCACAGCACTCGACTTCCTGCATGGCGGGAGCGTGTTCTTAGCGTAGAAAACTCTGGAAAATTAATCAAATATTAATTATTTGCCGAATTGGATCGTCTCTGGCTCTGGCTGCGGTCATACTTCATCCAGAATCAATAACTTCCTCTATTAAAAGGTTCAATTGATACACCTCGTGTATAGTGGTACCCATCTATACTACTCTACGATCCAATTCAAATTTCGTTAAACAATATTTTGAACAATTTGAAACTAGCATGCAATTTATTTCAATCGTTCTTATGCGTTTCAATCGTTTTATGATTGAGTTTGATATATAACTGTTACATTAAGTATTACCAATTTAACATCAATTTGTAAAAAATAATAATCTGTTTTAATATGCAAATTTAGGGTATAATATCCAGCTTTGCATTTAAAAGTAATGGAAATCCAAGAAAGAAAACGTTGATAAGTCTACAAAAAGTGAATCTCAATAACCAAAGCGTCCACAGCTTCAGTATCGTACGTCAGTACGCACAGTCGTTGGATTCCGCCCGATTGGTCTGACGCACAACAGATGAAACGTCAACGCACAAAGTCACATCCCTCACCCGACCTCGCCTCGACCCACCTCACTCCCCCCGGCCCCAAACCTCCTACCATCGCCCGCCTGCGCCCTCTGTCGCCTGCCTGTCCCGCCCGCCCCCTTGCGCCTTCACAGCGCGTGACGCTATGAACGTGGCCGCCGCGGCCTGGACACCCAATGATTTTAGCCCCTCGTCAGTAGCGTAGAGTAGTGAAGTTTTAACCTTGAATAGTGGGTTGTTAACTCGCAGACCAGGCTGGCCAGTGAAACCAGGTGAACATCATTGTTTCCTGAATACTGAAGGACACGTGGTGTACAAGTCATACGATAGGAGTTTGGGGTTTAAATCAAATTTCTGCGTTTTTCAACTTGTTTCTTTCAAACTATGATGGATAAAACAAGGTTCAGAAGACATTGATGGACCTCTCATATTTACATTTATATCAAATTCAAACATATTTTACCAATCATAGTATATGTACGTTATGATGGAATATAAAACTTACGTTAAATTTATAAACGTATACACATGTATATTTATAAATTATGTAAATTTATAAACGTATACCCATGGGCTCAAAGTATTCCTATTGAATTTTCAAAATTGCATCTTACGCTACCTGAAATTTGGAAGCAAACGGCAACGTAAATGAAAGCCCTGGCATGGAAAAGTGGTGGTCGGATCTCGTGTTAACAATTCATTAGTACCGAAAGAGTGGTTTTATGTCACCTACGATGAGTATGGTCGCTTCTGGTAAGCGTACCAGGAATATTAACATGACCTCTTCCGCATAATTAGTTGGTTAGCTGCGGGAGTCATTAAATACGTTCGTGCAATCGCTCGGGACTTTAAATCAATGCCATCATTTGGCCTTTATTAATTCTGACTGATTATTTCCGTATGTACACATTAAATTATTATAGGGTGCGGATTTTAACATGTGACAGACTATTATAGTATACCGGAAAGTGCACGATTTGTATGCACTGAAACCATGGAATCTTGGTGCAAATGTGTTGGCTGATGCACGATCAAAATTAAAATTTCCGATAGGCGAGCAGCCTTTATAGAATACGAGTCATTCTATACATCGGACTCGTTAATTACTCTCTCCCTGTCTTATAATTTTGTCATTTGTGCTTACAAATATTACAAGCAGCATCCTATTTTGCCCAGATGTGAGGCTATCTGCCATCGGCAAATGCTGCGATAACAAAACAAAATATTTTTTGAAATCGGTACTTTTTCCTGAAATGTTACAAAACGTTCCCCGTACTACTGGCAGTATCCGAGAAAGTAATACATATTAAATATTACAGACACCTGGAAATTTAAGTCACAATATTCAGCTATTTTGTTGGAGTTTGGTGGGGAACTACCACGACACTACGAGTATGTAAATAGTAGGTACAAGGCAAAAGCACTTTGAATTTTGCCAGAGGCGTACCTACGTTATGACAGACATGGCACGTGTCATTGGCGCCACTCACAGGGGCGCTATCAGGAGTATACCCGCTAAAACAAATAACAACCCTAATTTGATTTACCCTGACAGGGGCGCAAATTCTAGGCTTGCCTCGGGCGCCTGAATACCTAGTTTCGCCTCTAATTTTGCGCCCTCCGTGTTCAGACTTTCGTCGCCAAGGTAGCGCTGCCAAGGGTGCGACTCAGTCATGATCGTTGCCTTCAAACTTATTGCGCTTGAAAAGCCTCGCGAAGTTCGACAGAAAGGCCTATAAGGTGAACGAAAGGTTCAGTTGGGCGTTATACTCCAAGTTTGATTCAGACTGTGGGGTCTCCGCTCCTGTCTCTGGTAAGAAAGTTAATTTTGCTAGGTACTCAATTAATTATACTGCTCTTCGACTCATGGTCGTGAGAAATATTGTTTAAAAAAACGATAAAATTACATGTCAGTTTTGGTAATATAGAACTGTATTCGAAAAATACTGTAATTCATCACTGAATGATAGGTATGAACTGATATTTGGCGAATGTCACTCTTTGCCAGTGTATTTTAATAGCAACATTTTGCTTAAAAAATGTAGTCAGTCCTCTCAGAACCAGGTTTGAAATGAAACCGAAATACTACAATGACAATATTGACGAGTATGAAATACTGACATTCATACTTGTCAAGTTTAACGCAAAGTTAATTGCGTTTATCACTTATTCGTAATCTTTCTGAAACACTAAAAGAAAATAACTTCAAATTTACTCAGAAAGCCAAGCATAAAAAACAGCAAGAAATTACAAGTGCCCAGTGTCACTGAAAGACAATGTGAACAATTCGAAAAATGAGCTGTGATCATGTCAAATTATTTGTTCACGGTCGATAACAAGTTGAAATTGTGTCATACCCACAAATGCGGAATGTGGCAGATGAAGTATCTCACTGGTTCACAGCATCCTGTGTATGCCGTACCGGGAGCAGCCGACCGTCAGGTGGCAGTCTTAATGAAGGACCTCTTTCACCTTTTCTTATCTACGTACATAATCGCAGCAAATCTACTCAACTACAAGTACGTCACTTCCACAGTTAATTATATAATACTGTTCTCAGATATTTCCAAGATAGAACTTGCTGAATATCAATTTTCTACTGCGTAAATAAAATATTAAATATTAACGATTTGTGTATGAGATACATTTGCCGAGAAATAACGAAATCGTGAAAATCTAATGCCTCCAAAACCGTATTTTATACTTTTAAAAATTGAAGTGTGTGGCCTCGTAATGTCCTTTTTCGCGTAGAAAAAAACCTTTTGATAAATAAACAAAAAACATAAAAATTCACACCCTATAGTAATATAAAATAGTTTAAGATTTTCTTAAGTCCTTAGATTTTTCAGCACTTCTTTTGCTTTTGACCACTGTCTCAAATCGCTTAACATATCATTATCTGTTATCTAAACAAAAGAAATGTTTCTTGAAGACGAGCGATTGCACTTGTATTCTAATATCAAATGAAATATATTTTTTTTTAGAAAAGAAAACGAAGAAGTGTTATGCAAGCGTCGAAGCAGGGTAGTTAGAGAACAAATCGGAGAATATCAAGGGGATTTGACTCGCTGAAATGAATTTTATAGGTCCAGAGTATTTTTTAATCCTATTTTAGACATTTTAACTAGTGTCTGCCAATCGAGCACGTTTTACCAAACGAAGAAGCAGGTTCCCAATGAGGTGTTTGCACGATTGTGTGCTAATACAATGACTGCGTCCCAGGTCGCGGCTTCGGTGGCCACAGCTCCCATTTTGTAACAGTTCGTAGGGATAGCATTACATATTTGTGAGAAAGTTGTTTTAATATTGTGAAAAAGTATTACATGTATACATTTTATGTGCAGTGTTGCAAAACATGGGAAAGGTTTAAAAAAACTAATATGGCAAAATAGTTTAGAGACATTTAACTTTTGTATGCTTGTTTGTAGTATTGTAAGAGTAGCGGAAGTCTATTTTGATATAGGAACGTTGTCTAGGCAACCGAGAAAACCGCTTGTTACCTTTACAGCGGAGAGAAGGCGAGCCTGTGCAACGGCAACTCCGCCTCTCGAAATTGCCCGCTGTTGGATGAAAATAATAAACAAGTTAATCACATTATGGTTTGTGTTTTATTTCTTCCCAGTTTCCATTCCCAAGATTTATATCTGATCCACGTGAGTCAGACTAAAAGAGATATGAAGAAAGGGTAAGATATAATTTTCTAAAAATTAAACTTTGCTTAGATATCTCAATGCGTACTACACTTTGCTGTACTTTTGAAAGAGCTTCACAGCAATTGGAAAAATGATTTCAATTTTATAATTAGAGTGTGTTTTAATTGTCTTTAATAATATTAATTATCCTTTACAATTTTAGCATTATTTGTATTAATATTTCAATAATTTCCTTTGTGATTTGTCATAATTTATGAAATTTCGATCATAAACTCAATGAAAATATTGTAATTAATCATTTGGAAATAATGAGAAATTTAATGACATGTTTAGATAGCAACTATCAATTTTCTAAGAAAAAATATTTGAACATGAAAATTATTTATAATAATAAAAAATGGCAAATGCTAACAAATAATAATATTACATGGAATCTTGATGTGCAAGCCCTGTGTATGTGTCGTGTGCGTGTGACTGCACGTTTCAGTATAATTGGTACTCCTGCTACAATTGCAACCAAACTTAGTGCACATATGTATTACTTTTAAAAGATTATTGCCGAGGGTAATACCCCTCTAGGAACCCAGAGGGATGTGGGAAAAGGAAGGGGTCCTGTTCACAGCAAAGATTGTTATGCAACATGCAACATACCTAATGTGAGGCAGGATTGTCAAGAGGGGTGCTATTTTGTAAACAATTGTGAACCCAAGCAAAGCCTGATAAAACTAACATATTGCACAGAAAGCTGTGGATACCTCATTAAACATGTGGAAATAAAATTACCTAATTATTTACAAAGACACGTGTTTTGTGCGTCAATTAAGGGTTTCAAATAGAGCTCTATAAATTTGTACACTATTAGCAAAATAAATCTAGGTACCACATCCTGTTAAAATATTTGATAAAAGATTTACAATATTGAAAGTGAAATAAATGTCTTAGGGTAATCATAACAAAAGAGAACTTTTACATCTCACTCTGAGAAGCAAAAATGTACCTACTCCTCTTAAAAAATGTGTTTTGTGTGCTGGTAACTTGAACAGTAGCAATATGAAGAAACATATTCAAAAGCATATTAAAAAAGTTACAGATTGTTGCTACACTTTACTTCCCATTACTACCCACCAAGAATTCAATTAAAAAGTATTAGAAATATTTTTATTGAATACCATAGCAAGTGTGATACAACAAAAGATAAAAAGCTTCTGAAATAAATGAAATACTTTTCCAATCTTTAAATATTTTCCACAATTATATGAAAGAAATATTCATTATGAAATATCCAAATGAAGTTGGGTTGATTTTAAAATAATGAGAACATCTCTTTACATGAAAATTTATCATAGTTCAAGTAAACACAGAAAACATAGAAGTAAACACAATAACAAAAAAAGACACATAACCAGAATAGAAAGAGAAAATTAGTCCTACAATATGAGTATTTCTTGCACCACCTGGCTGAAACCAAACCAAATCAACAAACCCTATGATCAAGGCTGTTTGAACAGCTTTGGGGCCCTTAGGCATACATGAATTTCAGGGCCCCCTAAGTTACAATTCTGATTTAGTTTTGACTGAGAGAATACAAATGTTCTTATACTTATTAACACCATAAGCCCAAAGCATCAAATAACAGTTTGTTGAAGTTAGAAAACCAGAGCAAAGGCCAAGGTTTACAAATGAGTTTCTAATTTGCATTATCGGGCAGGTGTAATTCACGAATTTTGGAAATACCATCTTCTTATAACAAAATAATTATTTAATCAAGAAATGTCATTTCTGAGAATAAATGTACTTAATGTCATCTTCAGCAACAACTCATTTATTTCAATTGTTTTTAAAGCACGGGGACTGTTAAACCCTTAACAGAAGCCAACATTAAAGATTGGTTTTTCAACATGTTTCTTTGCGTGAAGTCAATAACAGTGCAGTATTTTGAAAAAAATAATAGACAGTCTCAGTACAGGGGCTTTTGTTTCTTATAACACAGTCAGCATGAAGAAAATGAGGAAAGAAAACAGAAGACAATATAGTTTTAGCATTTGTTTTCAGCCCAAAGTTCTGCCTAAAAAATTGTTGCTACTGGTGCTATGGACAGTTGCTACTAGTTCTATGGAACACACGTTCAGTCCTATTACCAAGTCTATAATGAACAGTCATTAAAACTAGTGGTGCTTCGGAATAGCACAGACTTTCACATTCTACTTAGTTTCCTATTCTCTTCAATGCCTTAAAAACTACAAGGCCTTGCGCAGGAAGTGACAGCTCCTCTTTGAGGTGGTGAAGCAAACCTTCACACACTCTGAACATCAGATAGATCTACCTTTTGTTCCTGTTCTTTTACATTTTTGCCCATAGTATTCCTAGGCCTCACTTCAGTGCTTGTACCATTGTTCTGGGTGTGGGATAAAGTTTCTCAAATACACGCCAGATTGCTACAGTGATGCCAACAGATTAAGGGAGAATTATGGCATAGATATACACATGAGGGATTAGGAATGCCCTGTCTCAAACACAACTGAACACATTCACGTCTTAAGGGAGTTTCAAATCTGCAGTCATTCTTAGGCTTACCTGCCCCAAGCACCTGTCTCTCAAGGCTGAATCACTTGTCTACATCAATTGTAATCTTGTTACAACTTTCAATCATGATCATTTCATAAAACTAAACTGACCTCTTCAAGCACTCGGCCTTTAATGAAATGCTTTGCAGAATTGAATCTATGTATCTAGCTTGGCCACCATTCATTTTAACAACAACAATGCAAGTTAATTTAATTTGTACTCAGAATCAAAATTAATTTACATTGTACTCAGTAACAAACGATTTCCTCAAAATCAATTAACTCTACAAAAATGTAGTGAAAAATAATATTTACAGCATAAATCATATTCCTAGCGGTCAGAATGGTTTATCACAATGATTTACTTTACTTTCATGTCTTATTTATACTGAGGGAATAGTGTTTTATTACAAAACAAGAACATTTTGTCACATTTTCTCCATTTTTCAGTCCCATAATAGTAGCATTGAAATTTTACTTTAAGAATATTATTGAAAAGTAAAGCATAATTCTTTATGCAAATTTTCATTGAAAAATTTGGAGCTATTTTGATAAAATGACATTGAAGCGTTTCTTAAAATGGATAATTTTGAGCATTTTCACAGAATTGTTGAGTCTTTGAGAAACTTCATAATAAATAATTTGAAGTACTTGCACTCACCAATGCAATAATGTTTAAAAATCACCCATAATATGAATATTAATGACATACGAGATATTTCAAAACAATTACATAAGTGCAATTTATGAAAATGCAAAAGAAATCCTTTAAATGCTTAAACGTTGTGTCATTTGGTGCATTAGCCACTATCCTAGCAAAAGGTTAAAGAAAAATTTGGGTCCATTTTTGACATAATCATGTTTTTCATATTGCCTGCATTTCACTCCAAATTTCATGAAAACTACAAATGTTTTCAAAAAATGAATACATTAATAAATTAAGTAATTGTAAGGAAAAGATCTATGTTCAAAAATGTAGTTGTGCCAGTAAAACCGAAAACATTTCTCAAAAAAACTGAAAAATTAAAATAAGACCTAACCCATCATTCTATTTTTAAAAGATTTTTAACGAAATATGTTTTTAGAATATTCTCTAAGGATTTCATGAAAAGTACCCTCAAAATTAAAAGGATTCTTTTGAATATCACGAGACTTGGAGGGAAGTCAGATCGATCAGGGAATTTTAATTTTGGAAAGTGTGTTTATTTTATTTAGAGACAGCTAAAAGTTCTTTAAAAAAAATACTTTTTCAATATCCAGGGACAGCAAAACAGCATTTCCATTAAATTCTTAAAATTGATTTTCCGCTTTGTTACAAAACATTGTTTTATACCTTCTACATGTATAACCTGTATGTAGGTATATGCATACGTACAGAGTAATATATTTGCATATATTTACGTATAAGGCAAAGAAAAAATTAAACAAACATAGAAATGATAGGTTCATACAGAGTGAACATTGAAAGTTACATTTTCATTGCAAAGTGGAACTTAGAACATGTGTGAAATTAGGAATGGTTTCCTATTTTTTCTGATAAAGATAATTTTCCACATGGCTGAAATATCATGTTTGTACCCCTGATGAGCGTTGAAAGCACATGGGTCAGAGGAAGACCTACGAGAAGATGGCACCAGCAGGAACACTACTTCATTACACACTAACAGGACAGGAAAGTCATTCCTAAACCGAGGATGTTGATGGTGATGATGATGAATTAATGTATATTGTATACAAATTTACCACCGGGTGTTAATCCCTAAGTGGATCAAATCAAACTAATACACAACTCGATTATCCAAGATACAATTTCATGTTGCAGTTAACCCCTGTAATTATCATGCAACATTAATATTAGCATGTGGGAAAGAGTCACTTGTCTCCATGATATTAGCTGGATCACAAAAAAGAAGAGGAAGAAGTAGAGGAGGAAGAAGAAGAACGGGAAGAGTATGAATAAGAAGAGGAGGAAGAAGAAGACGAAGGAGAAAAAGAAAGAAATGAGAAAAGCAAGAAGGAAACAAACAAAAAGAAGAAAAAAAGGACCTCCACTCTGGTTTATACAACAGCACAGGTAGAACATGTTAATTGAGGAGTCTGATGTAAATAACAGTAACGGACATTTTGGATTACTGTTCCTCCAAAATGCTGAATACCATTATTTACCCCTCAATGAATGTTATGAAAGATAAAATTAAGATATTTTACTTAAAAAAAAAAAAAAAAAAATTGGGGAAATGTTCAATAGGTATCAGAAAAAAGAGTGAACAACAACAATTTGTGAAACATTTCTTTTATGTAAAAAGCACTGAGAAACATTGATGTACATTCTTTTCGGAAACAATTCATTCAATGATCACTCAAGCCTGGAACCAAGAAGTGAAATTCATATAAAAAAAATATCCAAAACTCAAAAAGTTTTCCATTATTTACAATTCGATATTCATCACAGTGTTTGTATTTTGTCTTCCACTACAGATTTGGCAAAGGCTCCATTCATCTCAATTTAAATATCAGCAGTTTCAAAGCTTCATAACACACTGAATGTGCATCAAACTACATAGTATTCAAGTCCTGTACTATTCAGTAATGTTATGGATTCCTTCATTAAAATAATACTACAGTAATAGAAACAAAAATTAAGGAGACTAAAAATTGGGCTCACTGTGTGAGAAATAATAATCAAATTATTATAATTATAAATACATTTTACAAATTTCTATCCATTATAATCAAATTCAGATTAGCACATACCAGTACTATTATCTTTAATATGCCAAAAACACTGTATATATAATAATGGCAAGAATCCACTAGGGCAGGAATGTCATTCAAACTGGTAAAATCAAATATCCAATAATTTTATTTGCATGGTTTTGAATTTCGAATGTGTAAGTTTTACTTCACCAAAACATCTTTCAAATATAATTGGATTGTACATTCCTATCAATTCATACGGAGACAAAGTTTTCTTTAAATCATGCAAATATGAATAACACTATTGCCTCTATTAGATTTCTAACACAGCATGAAACATTACAGTAATAGCTGGTATAAAACTGAATTAGTGCAATCTTGTGACACAGAGGAATTTGTAACAAAAAAAGTTTATTAATTTTACTTCATTTAACAGTGAATATTTGTTTATAATGCTAATAGATACCCTAAAATATACCAGACAATAATTATCTAGTAATAAATACAAAACTTAAATTTCATATAATAATTCCCTTGGCCCCTGAGGCAGGTAAATGTGAAAGGCACAATTTTTGATTACCTAACTGAAACAACTGAAATAATTGCCAATAACTTCTCACACACTACCAATGATAAAATAAGTTATAACAATAATTTATATTGTTAAATACATTTTAAAATGCTCTATTTAATGAAAATGCACTCCCATAGTCATGGACAGACAAATGGATCCACAGGATCTAATCACATAAGTGCATTGCCATTTTCTAACAATACAAAAACAAACAAACAAATAGTCGATCACTCTTACCCAAAGTAATAACACACTGGCAATTCACACAAGACGCTAACAAAGGGCTTGAGATTCTTTAAGCTGTCTGAAGACAATAATTTAATTTTCAAATGCATATCATCACCACAGAAATGGTGAAGATTTAGCTTCACAGAAAAACGTTAAAAACTAAGCTCAACCTCCAACTGTAAAACTTTTAAAAACATTTCCACCATTTCTACAAGACCAATATAAATATAAGTACATTGCACAATGGTGGAATATTCTTTATGTAAACAGATAAAGGCATTCCTAAAAAATCTCAATTTTAAGTTAAAGTTTCATTAACAAATGTGGAATTGACAGAAGTGATTGTTGTCATGTCGAAACCTAAACTTTCTGTTGTTGAATTTCCATTTGTGTACACTGGAGCTGGAGTAGCATACACAGCAATAATCTCCAAAATACTGGTGTATGTGCCAGATCCTAATGCAATTAGACCAAAAACACAAAGCAAAATATTCTTCCAGAGTCGCCAGCGACCCGGGCCCATACCATGTTCCCAGAAAGTAACCACTTCAATCAAAGCAGGTACAATTAATCCAAGGATGGAGAAGCACAAGGCACCAATGAGGGCAATGAAAGGTGCAATAGTTGGAACTGCTATTGCCAGAATTACTGTAAAACAAAAGCAAAAAGTGATCAAGAAGTTGCAAAACAATAGAAAATTATTTTAATTCACACACAGAAAAAAGACAAGAAAAAATGGGTTTTTAGAGTTGAACAAGAAATATCTTCAACATGAAACAGTTCAAGTAAAATCTTTGCACAAGGAAAAAATAAGCATAACAGAAAAGTTTTCATATTTTGATTGCAGCTCAACAATTTTCGTGGGCAGCGTATAACAAAACAACACGTCTTTTACTTAACTCTTTGTGGGAAACAAAAAAAAGAGATAAAAAAGGATTTTAATGTATTATTTTTGTGAAATAGTTGGTAATCTGTTACATTTTTTGGAATATTTTTGGAACAAGGAAGTATTACGTATACATAGTTATAAAAATTAATAAAATTGAGAATGTAGAATCAAAGGCTGCTGGCTGGAGGATTAAGTACTAACATAATACATAATTCATACCTGTTGCTACAACGAGACTTGTTCTAATGGCATATTCTCTGAGCAATCTATGTTTTGTGGGATATTCCTTCACAGCATTTACAGCAATTTCAAGGCACACATAATACTGCAACCCATATGTGCAATATACAGCTAATGCTATCAACACTTTCACCGACTGAGCAGCACTGTAACAGAAATGATTATAAAACTGGAGGGTTCTAATAACTGCAACATCCAAATTTAACCAATGTTATCTTCATTATATAAAATATGAAAGGATTTTTTCTGACTATGTGTAAGAAGTCAACACCAAAAAAGCCCTGGATGAACGCTACTGCTAATTAGGGAATTATGCCTCTGGCATTCATCACAGAGATTTATGATGAAAAAAAATAGAAGTTTCCAGATTATGCTGTACAGAACAGACAACTTGAAGCAATGAAACATAATATGGAAACAATGCATCCTAGGCCTTTAAAACAAGGTATTTATGACCAAAGGTGGCAAAGTTTTGAGGGGGCAGCCGAGTTATGAGGAGAACGTGTTTTGGGAGTTATGCAGGGGTCAGGTGAAATATTGTAAGGGAACTGGTGAGGCATGAGTTATGTTTCTTAAACAGTATTCTACAAAATGAGACCTTGTTAAACTTTCTATTACATTTTTAGCTGTTCTGGGAACCCCTTCTTTGTGATGTGGGAGGACAGATGTAAAGAGTAACTCTAAATATATGTAAAATTAAGTTACAGCAATGAATCATAAATAATAAACCTTAATAAAATTAAAGTGACTATGGTATTTGATTTTATATAAAATTTAATTTTAGCTCTAACAATGCTTTATTCTCAATGTTTCTGATTAGTAAGTTTATTAGTGCACATAACTGTGTCTATATACTGTAACACAGTTCAAAGGTTGGTCGCAAAAGCAAGGATCCTTTATGAAGCTATTCTCACATTTAAAAAAATGAGCGTTATGCTCCACAGGTCATAAAATATTAAGCATGCAAATAGAAAATATTTCTTTCCACTTTTTTGCTTATACCTACAAATGCACAAATATATTTGAACCTGAACAAGTATCCTTAGTTTTTTAAAATTAGCAATTTTTAAATGCCCTAGTCTGTATTACTAATTCCCAATGCATACAGAAAGTGAAAGAAAACTACGCAGCCTCCAGTCATGTGTCTATGGTTTTGTTAGGTACCCATAAACTGGGGGAAATTCAAAAACAAAGAAACAGTTTCAATTTTGACTGAAAAATGCAAATATTTGATTGTGTTTCGCCTATTCTCATACTGCGCAAATCAACTGACTTCTCATACTCAGTGCATCACTGCTGATGTTTTGTGACAGCAAGACTCCAAGCAAGAGGTCGCCTGCCATTAAATATTTGCTATTTACACATCCTAATATGGAACAGTAATTTTTTTTTATATTCTTGGTATGTAAAGAACTAATGTACTCCATGTTCATGCATGTCCATATTTGTGAAGGTTGTTTTCCTTAAAATATTCAACATATTGTGGGGTATCAAACAAGAGAACTTTATTTGTTGATTTTGAGAAGAGTGTGTGTGCTTCTTTTTGGAAAAATACTTTGTGTGGTTTTTTTCAGCATCATTTTTGCTAATGCTTAACTATTTATTATTACTATTTATTACTATTATTACTATTATTACTATATTACTATTATCTATATTATATTATTACTATTTGATTTACTATTATTACTATTGATTACTATTCTTACTATATTACTATTATTACATATTATATTATTAAACTATTTTATTAATTATTAATGTATTATTATATTATATTTAATTATTATTATTATTTATTATTATATTGATTATTTAACTTGATTGGCCACATTGAACCACTTGAGTTCATTCCACTTACAACTTTTTAACTGTTCATGGTCGACTGTCGAGTGTTTTCCCACCTTGATGTGGATAATCAATCCTTCGAGTTACAATATTGAATGTTATTCAGAAAGGTGATATCGAGAAGATGGAGGATGAATGGTGAGCGAATAGGGGTGAAAGGCGAACACAATACAACCATGCCCGAGGCGGGACCCTCGAACCCGCGATCTTTCGGTACGAGATCGCTACGGCACTACTGCCTTAGCAATCTCGGCCACCGAATCGGCAATGCTTAACTATATTATAAGATATAACTATATCTCCAAAGGATTGATTTTAAAAACTATTGTTATCATCTACCTCCATTCATAGTGAACTTAAAATATTAGTTAAAATAAAAATAGGGAATTTTGGACCAGTTTTAGTTTTACAATTGGTAAGTTAAGTGATTAAACAAAATTCTATCATGGAGAAGACTGAAAAACACAGATTGCTGTATACTGTGATTTAGTGACACCCTTCCCTTAAAATATTGAAAATTGCATGAATTTCGATGAAGACGCGACATTACTCACATTTCATCCATTGGAAGATTCAATGTTATGCTAGCCTCGGTTTTATCACCATACTTGAGGTATCCCAAGAAACCCACCAAGATGTAAATAAGAGTAACACCAGCCATGCCCTGGTTCAGCACTCCACATAGACCAAGAAAATGGCGAGGATTACGCATGTTATTTTCCAATGGCATTACCTGCAAATAGAAAAAACTCATTTTGTTTTCAGAAGAACAGAAATTATATAATAAAGTACTTTTACAATTGTATTAAAAAAAGTAATAAAATCAGTTGAAGTTCATAGATTTTCATCACATCCACATCCTACTGAAATACAAGTACTCCCCAATATATTCTTAACATTGAATTTCTTATGTTTACAAAGTGAACTGCTCAAATTTTAAAATTTAATTTTAAGTGAACTGCTTAAATTTATATATTCCATGTAGGTTGCATAAATGCATACATTGTATGTATGATCAAATAAAACTTGTCATTTGTTGTTTTAATAAGCATTTTCTAAGATGTATTAAATATGAAGCCTATGTATAACATGTACTACATTGTAATAGTCATGTAATAAAATTCCTAACTGTGGATTAATTTTTTTATTCACTACAGAACAACACTGTTTTATGTTGCCAAGAAGAAAGAAAGAAAGAAATTCTTTCCAAAACTGTAATGAATAAATATTAAAAATATAATCACATTAATTTTTTCAACTTACCACTCCAATTGCTTCCATGGCAAAGATCACAATGGAGAAGAACATTGGCATCTGCATAATTGGTCCATATTGATTACGTTCAGATATTGAGGGTATATCGGTTACAAGGTAATATATAGTGATAGACAGACCAATTCCCATGAATAAATTTGCGATCATGGATACTGGCGCTAAATATTTCAGATTTGGAACCCAGCCAATAAGCACTAGTGGCACCAGTAAGAGAGCCAAATACACTCGCACATCCACGTCATATGTTGGGAAGTAAGTCACAAATACCTAAAGAACAAAACAAATAATTTGTATCAAACATTCTTGCTTATGTATGTTAATTGCATTCAAACAATAATACTATTTTCAATCTCACCTGTTGCAAATTGGTTGCAATGATTACAGTGTAGACACTGCATGTACCAAAGTATGTCAAGAAGAGGCTTGCCAAAATAGTTGTCCTGTTCAGATTAAAAAATCACTGAATTTTGTTTTTGTTTTTTGACACATTAAGTTCAAATAATTCACAATTGTAAGTTCATGAGCTTCTTTTTGGGCATTACAATTTATTTTCATCTTTACACTTATGTAACATGTTTTTGATTACTTTATTCTTTTGTATTAAAACTTCCTTTTGAAAAGTAGAGAAGTATTGGATAATAATTAAATGCAAGGCAAATCAATATTCAAAAAAATATTTAGATGCATCTTTTTAAGAGAAATTAAATATCATTTTATACAATAAACATTACAAAGTAAAATTGTTTTACAATGAATAATAATATTTAAATATATTTCTGCTTTTTGAATACATTAATAATCTCTTCAATTTTACATTTTTATTTTTATCTTAAAACAATGAAAGTTCTCACCTTACTGTAGGAGCATATCCACGCCCCCAAGATGGACCATTGGCAAATGCAACTTCACCAACATCAGCAAATGTCATGGCAGTCACACGGGTGCGACTGTACAGTTCATGAGCACATTTGACCAAAATGTAGGAGCAGTGAGTGCAAATGATAGCCACAAGTACAGTAGCAAATACTCCGACAGCCAGTCCAGAATTCATAAATGCAATGGGCATTGCTAAAATACCAGTCCCAAGGGATGCTTTAAGAAGATGGGTAAGTGTGTCACAGTCTCTGCAATAATGCCACATGATTAATTACCTTATGACAAGTGTTTAAACAGGAGGAATTAATAACATTTTCATTATGAGATTTATAAAAATTACACAACAACTCTGTCGTTGTACTTACGATGTAGGATGTTCCACTTTCCTTTCAGCGAAAGGATCCCATTGAGGTTTGGAAAAGTGGTCTGGCTCATTTCCTTTGGGTGTAATAGTGAATTTGTATCTAAAAATAAAAATATTAATTGAAATAAACAACAAAAATCATTATTAGATTAATATCAGTTCAAAGAGAGTTTTGAGTTTTGAGGTTTGTTTGTTTAACAAATTTAGGTTCTCTGCATCTTTTGTTCTATTATCTTATGGGTTGTAAGTTGCATATTGATTTACACGTTTTAGACATTTGTATTGTTAAGAAATTTATAAATCATCCTTTTTTTTAATGCTGAATTAAAATGTATGTATTCTATAAAATCAATTTTTTTTACACCAAATAAAAAAAAACTATATTATTTTTCTTATAAATCTAAGGAAAACACACTTTTTGCCATCCATTCCATCCTTGAGATTTGATCCATCAGGGGGCAAGAAAACTTCCAATTCTGTGGCTTGTGGGATTGCATCCTGAAACAAATGAAAAAAATAAACTATTATAACTTTACCTAACATCAAAAATAAAACAAAAGTAACCATTTTATTAAGCATAATTGCACATTTCTGAGTATTTTCTTTAACTGCATATTTTTATTTATGTGGCATATTTAAGTGCATGTATTCTAGATTTTTGTGTAGAAGTGGGTCAACGTCAGATATTTTCCTGTATTTCTCTTTCAAAAGAAAAGTTAATCAAGGTGTGACAATGTTACAATATCAACATAATATTTACGACAGACTGATAAGTTCTTTTTCACTTACATCGATTTACTTCCTGTGAATTTTTGAACTTGATTTGCAAATGTACTACAGTTTAAATGAAGATTATATAAATAAATGTTAACTGTTACACACTGCATTTTTGTTCAATGTGAATTTTTAGTTTTAAGCACATTAATTGGCTATTTCAAGTGCATATATTGCCAATTTTAAGTATTTCCAATTTCATTTGTCTGGCTCATCCATTTTCAGGCATAGAATGTTATGTGAAAAATTGTCAATAAAGATATTTGTTTAATTTTTTGTTTAATTACAAAATTTAATTAACTTTATTTATGGAATGTTGAGCAAGATTGTAATAATACTTATATTAATAATAACAAGGATATTACTCTTTCGCAAACCGCACATACAGCAAAAAAGACTATATATTTGATGGTCAAAAGTTTTTTAAGGAGTCTCCATTGAAAGTACTCCCGCCCCCCCAATTTTTTTGAGTCTTGTCTGTTGCGCTATCAAATGCGGATGATAGTGTTGCATATACTTCATTTCTTCTTAATATTTTGATATATATGCTAGTGAATTTGATAGTCATTGCAATAAAATGCTTTCTATTACATTAATACTTTTCTTACATCATTCTCATTACATCCTAATGGTTCGATTCTAACTAAATAAATTTGACTGAAAATAGAGTTGTCAGGATAACGGAAATGTATATTTTTCAGCCCTCAAAATCAAATTTAATTAGTAATTTTACAACGAGTTTATTACCTTAAATAATGGGTCATTGACAATATTACGCGATTCTTCCTTCCTAAATCTATCTCCAAGCCCATCTACACGATCCCCGGGCGATGGGTTGGTCCCCATGACTGTCCATGAAAGCCTGACATTTGGTAGAACGCAGACGTCCTGCCCGAGCCTGACCTGGTCCACAAGCTCTACTTTGAAAAAAGGCGGAGAGAGAATATTCCACCTTTCTATTCTATTGGTTCAATAAAAAAACAAATCATAATTAATAACGAGTAGAATATTCCAATGCCAATTGATTTAAATTCTTACATTGCACATATTACAACTTTTATGTACATAACACGCACACGAAATTCGATAAACTTAAATCGCTGTCGATTCATTGTATATCTATAAAGTAAATGGAAGACTATAGTACGATTTATTTAGTCTTGCATTTAACATAAATCAGTTGTTGCAGTTTCATCCAATCGGGACCTAATATGTCGCTACAGTGATTTCACTGTAGGGACGTCCAAGCTCCCGATTGGATAAAAATGTGAACAGCTGCTTTACGTCAGGTGCATGGTAACATAAATCCTAGTATAACACGGCATAACCTTTCCTATTAACAGTATGTGCTAGAAAATACATATTTTCAATATCATATATATATATCTATATATAATATAATATATATATATATTCATAATATATATATTTGTGTTCCATTTAAATCATTGGATAAAATATCAAACGAATATTGATCGATACATCATTCATTACTTACTCCGGACGAAATCATATTTATATTGAACGATTGGATGTGAAGAAATGCGGGTAGAGTGGGTCTATTAGTTACGAATCGCCACCAGATTTTATGAAGCAATGCCAATCTCTGGAGATCAGTCATGCCTTCGCAATTTTTCTCAATAATTTGCGCTCTAATTTTCTCAGGAGTTCCAGGATTTCCTGTAATAATCTTCACCTGCTTGGTCATTTATTTAAATGTTTTGAAGAAAATCACCGGTCAGAAGTTCTCATCTTCAACGGAAAAATAATTTCTATTTCGCGCCAGTGAAGATGTTTTGCAATGTTGTCATCAGTGCGCGCCTGCGAGCTTTTGTCTTCAACTGTTTATTGTGTCAGAGAGAGGGAAGCAAGGTCATCGTTCAAGAAAAGTTGCGCGAGTAATACCGTATACTTAAAGTCCTGGCATTTAAGCGCACCAGAAGGACTTCATCCTGGTACTACAAACTACCCTAACTCGTTTTCTTGGGCCCTGCAAATACCTACACCCACTCTTTCACTATCATTAGTGGGATTATGAATAAGTGATTGCAACGAACATTATTTTGCATCGAAAAACAAGCTACATATGTGATATTAAGGCCCCTTCACAATGCAAACATAAACATAAGCATGGCGTTAACATAAAATATAGAACTATCTCCATAAGCGGATTCATACACAATGCGTTCGCATAAGCATAACACGTAAGGCGTGAACTTACAAGCTTGCACTTCTGCTTAAGTAAGGCAAGAAATGAACTAATCACAGTGCGTTAACTCAAAATCGAGAATCGAAAGAGGAGCGAAGTCGATAGAGAAACTAACGCCAAACGGGCCATGGACACAGTGGATACCTCAAAATCGATTCTCACATCCAACCAATAGTAAATTAGAATGCCTTACAGCCAATAGAAACTCTTATTTTGCTTACGTTTATGTTAGACATTGTGAATACTTCAGTCTATCACTTATGTTAATATTTACGTCTAGGCGTTATGCTTATGTTTACCTTTGAATTGTGAATGGGCCTTTAAAGTCCTGTCGTCGAAATAACTAACTCCTCACTCCTCTCGCACCTAGCGAAATGAGGGCTTAAGAAAACGTTCGCGGGTATCTTCATTAAATTCCTGGTAAAATGTACCAGGATCCTGGGTCGTTTGGCAACATTGACATAGCCTTCGAAACAAAATTGGCGAGAATGAGCGGCAAATCGAAAATTTTCCTCCTCTTAGTGTTATTACTCAACAATTATTCTTGTATTTTTTTAAAGTGCATGACAAATTTTAAAGATTTAATATTAAAGAATACATTGTATTGAGAAAGAAATACCTTGCTTTCATATTCGAAGTGTAGGGCAGGCTAGAAATAAATTTTAACCTTTGCAATTTTAGATTTTATTGGTTTTAATACAAATCTGTCTTATTCTATTCCACGCAACAACAAAGTGAAGACAAAAAAATTGTAGCCGTTTTTCGTAAAATGTCAGAGGCTTTATTTTCACCGTCAAAAATTAACATAATTAAACTTAAAAACTAACGACACGGACAACTTAAAATCTCATTCTGGTGTAATTTACAAAGTTAACATCCTTAAAAGCTTATATCCAACCTAGTTATGGTGGTTTCTTCAATTAAGTTACTTCGATCCCGATTTTCGTGTACAAAATTTTTATGTATCGTCTCACCCCTAGCCACGATCTCAACAATTTTGAAATGCCCGTTAAATAAACATAAATCCTGACGTGTGTGCGAAGTGTCAGGGCAAAAAAATATATAGGATATTGTCAAGCAAATTACGGAAAATAATTTTGTTCCAGAGGTCTTAAAGAGAAGAGTGATTTATAGTACCTTTGTATAGCTCTCTTTTCTATAATTATGTTTTATTATGTACATATTTTTAAAAATTTCATACTTGTATCTAAAAAAAAATACTAGTTTAAGGTAAAATCCAATTTATTTTGAAAAGTCAATTTCATCTCACATTATACTGCCAATTTTAGAAATCGGATCATGTACGTCTTAACAAGAAGTGAGAAATATAGTTTTGCCACTGTGAGGAAGAGTAGTCACTTCTTTCTTATAGAAATGGAACGAACATGAATAAATTTAAATTTTAGAGTTTTTACAGAACATAATACATGAAGTTGAATAATTTCACACAAGCCTACCTTGATTACATTTGAAGTGAGCTTTTAATGTTTTAATACCATAATTGGCAATCGAAACTTCTTATAATATAGAAGTGCGTTTCTTAGTTCTAAGTTAAAATTTAATACCTTCCTTTAATCTATTTCCTTTTACTAGAATATTATCTACATTATACAACCATCATGACCGACAACAGTGGGATGAATTCGAAGAAATTTGAAACCTCTGTGTTGCTATTTCCCACCAGGCAACACCTGAAACGAAGCGCGCGAAATTCGAATTTACAACTCCGAACTTGGCAATTTTCGAAAATGCAGAGTGCGACGAAAATATGACCTATCTTGACCACTATATTGACAGTTCTTTGCTACATACGAGGTTTAAAATTAAAGGCCGAATTCAAAGCCGTTTCTGAGAAAATTGTTTAAAATGGCAGATCCACAAAGGGGGGATGAGGGAAATACACCCCCCCCCATTTTTCAGGAACCATTAATTTTAACATCTCAAGAAAAATTTTAGAAACCAATGTTGCTGAAGAGAGCACGTACTTTCTCGCCCATAGTTTCACAAGAAATTACGCGAAAAGTATTAAAAATGATCGAAAAATTAACCAAGACCTTATTTCAAAATCTGTCTTGAAGGAACAGATTTCATTAAGGGAAAAATATATCTTTAATATTCTAGTTATTGGAAGATTCCGAAAAAAGGTGCACTTTTGCAATTTTTGAAAAATGAGTTTTTTTCTGCAAACATGAGACTTGCCCCACTATCTTAAACGTTCTTCATACTAACAAAAAAATCAAAAACCATGGAAACATTTCGAAATTTGAAAAATGGGATACATGTAAAATACTCCCAAAATTAAAATATATGATTGAATTCCAGAAACCATGACATTAGCCAGATCGATTGGGCAACATCAATTTTGGAGAAAATCGGGTCGACGGTTTAGTCGCTAGCGGGGTTCACATGCAGACAGACAGACGTTTTGCCGTCAAGCGATTCTTCGGTTTCAAGGACCCACAAAACCTATATTCTGGGTGCACCACGTGTTAGAGGACTTTTTTCTAAATTAACA